GACTAATGACAAATAAACTTTAATATGAATTTTTTTTAATATATTAATTTATTATTTTAATTAATATATTATTTTTATGTACATTTTATCAACACTCTTATTTTTTCAATGAATTTACTTAATAATTGCATTTAAATCAATTAATTTGATTAAAAAGTGCTTAGTAACGTGAATTTATTACTGGCCCATGTCGCGCTACATACCTCTGTGACGTTGGCATCTCATTTTTCAAAAAATGAAATTTTGGTCAAAGTTTCCGAATGCACCTCGAAGAGTTCTGGAGTTCCTACCCAAAATTAAGAATACTTCCGGCGAATTAATATAAAAAAAAAAATTAAAAAATTTGGGCTAATTTCACAAAACGAAAAACGAAAAATCGCGATAGCTTCTAAATCATTCAACCTAGCGCCTTAAATGATAATAACTTTTGATAGAATTCTTGGGATGCTATCCAGAACTCTCAACAGAACTGCCGTAATGTTAAAAAAATTTTTGTCCCTCAGATGTGACAGAATCAGATATTCAAAAAATTACGATATCTTTTAAACTGTTAGTCCTAATGCTCTATTAGATAAATTATCTATTAAAGTTATTATTATTAAGGCGTTAGGTTTAATGGTTTAGAAGATATCGCGATTTTTCGTTCTTCGTTTTGTGAAGTTAGCACTCCAAACTTTTTAATTTTTTTTTTTTTTTATATTAATTCTCCGGAACTATTCTTAATTTTGGACAGGAACTCCAGAACTCTTCGAGGTGCATTCGGAACTTCGATCAAAATTTCATTTTTTGAAAAATGAGGTGCCAACTTCACAGAGGTGCGCTACATAAAGTAGTAATAGAGGAAAAAAGAAGCAAGTGGCACGGTTTGTACGGTTTTTATAGTTATTTAGGCTACGTTCCAAAACTTCCTCTCCGAGGAAGATTTTACTCTATATGCTATAGTATATATTACATGTACTATATATTTCGAGTAAAATTTTCCTCAGAGAGGAAATTTTGGAACGTAGCTCTAATTAGTTTCTGTATCGCGTTACATGTAATCATATCATTAATCTTCTAATTTCGGTAAATATCATTATTTTTAAATCTTGATATGTATATTGTAATCTTTAAAGAGAATCAGTATTTCTGTGTAGTCAATAGAAACACTACTGTTATAGGAATCGCACTCCATTTACGAAATGACAGATGTAAACACAGGTCACGATTTTTTTTTTGGACGATTTAATTATAATTTTTAAATATGCTCAGTGGTGTTTCTCTGTTATATCACTAACGAGATAGGAAGCACAAGAATTGTCGTAATACTTATTTATATAGCGATTTCGGCTTGGATGCATTACTGCACATAAAGTTATCATATACAAAAATTGCCGTAAAAATGTATTAAAAACAGATTAAATCGTACAATCTCCAATATTGTACTGTTAATAAAACATGTATTTGATAATTTCCATTTCGTTTTTGCATACATAGTGATTTCGGCTAGGACGTACCGACTGCACATTTCGGATGTCAGTGCAACTGGTGTGTTCGACTGATTGAATGGTGCAATTTCTTGTCAGTGTCGCATGTTCGTCTGGACTACACCGCACAAGTGTACACAAAGTCCCGACAAATTTGTTGGGACCAGTTGGTAATTGGGCTTTTATGAGACGCTGAAAAGCATCGTGTGTGATCACGTGGTATTAATTTTGTCGCTAATGTCTGATTTCAGGTGCGATTTACTTGATGCTAAAAACGCTTCGAAACTTTTACTTGATCAATTGAGAAAGAATTTTATCTGACCAATTAGAAAATGCTTCGAAACATTCGTAGCAGCAAGTGGATCGTAGCCAAACATAGCCTTCATCTGAAAATTGATATCCAATCTGTAGTCAATTTTGATTTTATGAGTGATTTATATGCTCCTGGAATTTTTAACACCATCATCATCAAGTGACGATGACGAATTAATATTGATAGAACATAAAAAGAAGACAGAGTGAAAATAAAAAATTACATTGAAGAAATCATGCAAAAAATATCTGATGAAACATGAAATGAGTTTTGCAGATTAAATTAAAACTATAGTAATATAATATTTAATATAATATAATAATATAATATTATAATATTTAATATTTATATTTTTATTATGTATTTACATTATATCTACTCGTACTACTTAAAAAGGAAGCCATCGCAATAAAATCGAGGTAAACGTGACCATTTGTATCCCAAAAAAGCACAAAGAAGAAGATGAAAATTAGAGAGCCTCAGGGAGAGAATGGCAAACTGCATTATGTAATTCGTCTTCTTTGATTGGATGTGGGCATCAAAGCTTCAAAGGCATAGAAGAGATTGGAGAAAATTGATCATCTCGTGACGTCCTGATTGGACGTGATGCAATCACGTGATACAATTTGCCACTCTCTCCTTGTGAGGCTTTCTAGTGAAAATCGGTTATCTCAAACTGGATAGATTTCTCGAAAATCGTGAATGATGCAAACAGTCGAAAATGGCAAAACTATTCTTCAAATATTAGATGACTGCGACCATGTATTGCACGCGACCAGTATTATAAGTCGGTAATAAGGTTCACATTTCGTATTCGCCTGACGAAACATACACTGCCGCGGTGATATTAACCGTGTACAACAGTCTTGGCATGCACCAGTGCACATTGGGGTTTCCAACTGAAATCGATATTAGTCTTAAATTGTGACGTAAGTAACGCACAAGCTTTCACATATAACGTACAATTTATTAACTTGTCTCCAAGAGACATGACAATAAATCGTACGACAACGCTTGTGTATTACTTATGTCTACACTTAAGTCTCTAAGTAAGTCTTATAACAATTCTTTTGCTCAGATCCATATTATTAAAGATCGTCAATCCTGACAAATTTTTGACAAGCTAAAAAGGGCTCCAAGGGCCTGGAGATAATTGAAGAACGCTGACATTATTGACAATTGATATAAATTTGCTATTATTAACATAAATATTTGGCTCATACATTATTAAATTCATAATTTTTTATTACATAAATGTTCCATAAATAAATATGCATACTTACAAAATTATAATATCCTATATATTGCAAAAAAATTACAATTTTTTCTCTGCAGATATCATCGCTGTTGATAATCAAACTTTGACGATCACACTGAAATCATAATTTTGAAAAAAATCAAATTATTGAATTCTAAATGTATAAATACGTCTACTAAACTAATAAATCATAAAATTAGTACAATATTATCAGTTTTTAACTCTTAATTACTTTAATATTCACGAAGACGCGAACTCCCGTAAAGCCTTGTGTCTACGATGTTAAAAATCGATCCGAGACTTCGGATAAAGAAAGAATTGACCAATCGCAATGGTCATGTGATCAAATTGTTCAAATATGATTTGTTAATTTTTTCTCTGTCCGAAATCTCGGTCCAATTTCTAGCATCATGAACATCGGCTTAAAGATGTCGATCTTTAATAGTATCTCGTCGATGGTTATATCTAGTAGAGTGGGTATAAAGAGAGTGACGCCAATTAACCGGAAATCGTTATTTAATGATTTACATCTACACGACGCAATTCCTCGTCTTAATCTCTTCTTTCTTTAATGTTGTCTTCGTCTAAGTTACAGTAAATAAACTCAAAGGCATAACCAATCAGCATTAGGCACACGCTACTCGCTTTGTATCCACTCTAATATCTAGGACTGATCTGTATCTTGAAACAAGACGAAAATTACAAAAGTAAGCGAATTTACTAGAATATTGATAATTTTATTGGTCAACACTTAGTAAATTTGCTCACTTTTGTAACTTTCACCTCGTTTCAAGATACAGAATCGATCCCCAGATCTTATATTCAAAAATGTTTTAAGGCCGATATTTAGCTAATGTATCGATATACAGCAAACTAATGTATTGATAAAAAAAACTATGGCCGGATTCAGATTTTATATTCAAGACCGTCTTAAGTACAGTCTTAAGAAGTCACGAACCAATCAGAGACTGCATTAACGTCTTAAGACATTACTTAAGACGGTCTTGAAATAGGAATCAACTATGAATACCTGCCTATGAATTCTAGGCCTATCGAGTCTGTATTTTCAAACAAGGTGAAAATTATAAAAGTGAGCAAATTTATTTGGTATTGACCAATGAAATTATTAGTATTCTAGTTAATTCTTTCACTTTTATAATTTTCCCTCGTTTCAAGATACAGAATCGATCCTCGGAGTCGTGTTTTTCTTATCAATACATTAGTTTTAATTCACATTTCCCAATTGGTCCACGATGGCATAATACGTCTTAATTATTATTACTACTCTAAAGTTACTGTTAGCTGTCTATCTTTCTATAGTTAAAGGCATAACGTACGTACGTGTGTGTGTGTGTGTGTGTGTGTGTGTGTGTGTGTGTGTGTGTGTGTGGGGTGTGTGGTGTGTGCATTATTCGCACGAGGGCGCGTGTAATATGTGACGTAGTAGAGGATGAGAGAAGGAGATCGACAGAGAGAGAGAAAAACGAATCGTGTCAAGTTACTAAGCGCTGTCATTTCTGATGGTACTTCATAGCATTCGTTGCATATCGGTAGTGTTTTCGAGCATTTACTAGAAACGAAATTTACCAAAACGAACACATATTTAATTGAAATTTGTAATTGAAATGGCGGATACAACCGTAGACGCAACACGACGCTTAAATGTGAAAAAACAAACATTGGACGACGCTTATGCGGCGCCTGCAAATTTCCTTGAAATCGATGTTATTAATCCGATTACACATGGTGTCGGCAAGAAACGTTATACCGATTATGAAGTTCGTATGAGAGTGAGTAATATCTATTGCTTTATATACATTTGTGCAAATTTATTAAACGTTTCACACATCTGTCATGTCGAAATTTAGTCTTGTCAATATTTTTTTACGTCCGCAACAATAAAACAGACACATCGAATAATCACAATTCAGTCATGTCTACTGATTCATTAGACATATCGTGGGTTGTTCCCGCTATCATATTGATAAAGACTGACATACATTTATTGTTTAGATTTCAAAACAAATTTATAAATTGCTCAAAAATCTAATTGGTATTGATATTTTTTTATTTTTATATATCGACATTAATATCATAAATTCAGACAAACTTTATATTTGGAGCAATAAAAGTATGAAACTGTAACATTAGAAAATTGAAGAATAGCTATTTAGTGAATAATTTATATGTGCATATGTGTATTTGCATTATATATATATATATAGATATCATAAATATTTCAAAACGTTGAAGATTTCTGAACATATTTACTAAGAAATTCAATGTTTTCAAAGTTATTGACTTTTTCAGACAAACTTGCCAGTCTTTAAAGTAAAGGATTCAACAGTAAGAAGACGATACAGTGATTTCGAATGGCTGAGAAATGAATTAGAAAGAGATAGTAAGGTTAGTTAATGAAAAAGAGGTAATTGTACTTAAAAATAAAGTCTTTTTATATCTACCCTTAATTATGAATAGAATTGTAGGGAGATTTAAAAAATAATATCAATTTGTCTACTTCAGAAAGTATACATTTATTTTGACACTTCTTACATTTATTTATTAAACTTATTATTTAACTATGAAGATAGGAAGCGTACGTTTGTGAGACATGAGGAAAGTATTATGTGATACTTTTAGATACTGCACCAGGACTTGAATCTTTCTCCTTTTCAGACAGCCATTGAAGTGAACCACAATTGTCTCTTTTTGATTCTTTTTTGTATTTCATTTGTATATCTTATTGTAATGTAATATAATATAATAGAAAATCATTTTTCATATATTTTCTTAAATTACAGATTGTGGTACCACCTTTACCAGGGAAAGCATGGAAACGTCAAATGCCTTTTCGTGGAGACGATGGAATATTTGAGGAAGATTTTATCGAAGATCGAAGAAAAGGCTTGGAAGTTTTCGTTAACAAGTGAGCATTATTTTATGTGCAACAAGAAATTGTACAGTTATGTTTCATACATAGAAATAATACGTAATCTAATTTCTATACATAGAAGTGATTATTTAATCTAGCACTCTATATAATTATTTTAAAAAATTTTATTCAAGTTCTTTAAAGATTTAGTTATAGCAGGATGTTTATTTAAGCATGTTTACATTTATTTTTATTCTTTGAGAGAAATAAATATATTAGTAAATAAAAATATTAGTACATTAGTAGAATAATATATATTAATAGATAGAAAATAAGATATTTCTCTTTTTTTATTATTATTTTTCTCAACTCAATAATGACTTTCAAAGATAATAGAATTTGCCGTTTTAACTTAATTTAATCATAAAAATAGGCAATTTGTTTCTTTTGCAGAAATCATATGTTCAATATGAATATGAAACGAAAGTTATCGAAGTGCATTATTTCTTAATCATGTGTATTGTATTGAAATCATTTATATATTTTGATTGTAGTATTACTGTACATGTAACATATCTCCAACAAATGTCAGTGATTGTCTAGAATAATATTTTACCTGAACATATGAATTTATATGTACAACTGTTCATATTGCGTAATCATTTATATTTCAGAATAGCTGGACATCCTTTGGCACAGAACGAACGATGTTTGCATATGTTTCTGCAAGAACCGGTGATAGACAAAAATTATGTACCTGGAAAGATACGTAATACATAAGTTGCTATAAAAAATATATATATATATATATATATATCACGAATACCTTTTCCACCAAGTCGTCACATTTGAAATCACGTTTTCATTACCTTTACATCTTATTTGGAAGTCACAAATATTCTTATTCTTGCAAGAATCAAGTAAGCTACCTATACTACGTTATCAAATCAAGATGCTTATTTGGAAATATTCACACTTCTAGTTTACTCTAACTATTATTACACGAAAAACATAATAAAGTATCTTTATAAAGAAATAAATAAATGATAAATTGGCAAAATCATTCTTACATGGGTATACATACTAAGTTGATTCTATCTGCTGTTATCATATACTGTTTATAACAAAAGAAATAAGCAAAATAAAAAAATGTTATTATTCATAAGAGTTATATAAAATGTATTCCTTATTTTGTTAATTATGTAGGTAGTTATTTAACATAATTAAAAATTTGATACATAAACTATTAGTTTTTAATTTAATAGAGAATAGTGCAACTGAAAAGGAGTAATTTTAAAGAATAACTATAAACACATACATCCATCCACCTTTCCTACAATCAAATTTCTATTTCAAAGTTTTCGCAAAATTTTTATTCAAGAGTATTTACATTGTAATAAATATGTGATTCTGTGGATAATACAAACAAAAACAAAAATGTTATGCAAGACTGTCTATAGCAAGTTACAATTTTTTATATTTCATTGATTTGTATTATATTTTAATGAATAACACTATCAATTTCTTATAGATATATATCCTGCTTAGTCTTAACAGACCTCTTGTTTTTGAAGTAACCTTCTATATACTTACTTACACACTCTTGTTCTGAAATATATAAATGGAAGAATATATGAATATTACGATTATGAAATAATTTGTTAATGTACTTTTTTTATTGTTATATTCAGAGGTGGGAAGGAGGGTATTTTTTGCAATACAAATGTATTTTGTTTTATTTCAACGGAGCACACGAAAGTTTATGTATACCTTGTATTTATAATCGAAAGAGCGTATGTTTTAATTCAAATAATAAGATTAAATTAATTATTAATCTTATTAATCTTAGTATTTGAAATACAAAATTTTATACGTTGCCATGAAACACAAAATACAAAATATTTTCATGTGCTGCACTGAAATGTAAAATACAATTATCTTATAAATACTGTTTTTCAAAAAATAGTATTTCAAATATTCAAATAGACCCAGCCCTAGCTATATTGTGATTCACAAATTGAACATTATGAGATATATAGAGTAGTAGCTATATTTTTTCCTAATATATTTATTTTCTATTTAATTATATGGAAAGAAACAATATAAATTAGCAATGTTTGAAATTAAAAAAATTGAAATTAGGTTTTTCCAGCGGCTAGCTCTTCTTTTAATTGAGTATTGCACAATTCTCCATTAGTGTTATATTGAAATACTCAATTGATAATAAAACAAGATAATCATCTAAAATATACTTAATGCAAATATTTTTATTTAATATTATTATAATATTAACTTATTTTATTATTAAAAATTGCATAATTTTTTGAATGAGTACTGAAAAACATATCGGATTTAGTGGCTCACCTGGAAAAGTATTCTCTATAATAAGCATATCTGTGATGTACTTTGCAACAGCTTTAAAAAGATGACGATCTTTAATTCTTCTTTTTTTGTAGAATGGCATTAAGTATTTCACAATCCAAGGAGCTATTCTTTCTTTGCAAGCTGATAAATGTTCTTCTATACATACTGGTGAATCTGGCATCATTTCTTCTTCCTCAAATTCCCCAAACAAATGAAGAAATTTTTCTCTTACTCTTCCATGCCTTCGATAATTTGTCAATGATAATTCAGTCATTTTAGCTTTTAATTTTGAAACTTGATGTACGCGTTCCACGAACCAAATAGCATTTATTTTTTGTTTTTGTTTGCTTTCAACAGTTTCATTTATATTAATTCTTTTTGATTTAATGGTTTTTTTACTTTGCATTTCTTTATAACGACTGAAACTGATTCTTCCTTCGCTTGTATTTACTTTTGCTGTATTAGGCCTCGATACATTATTACTTATTGGAACATTAAAAAGATTTGTGTCTACAACAATATCCGCTTCTGAACATATCTCATTAATTTCTTTATCGATATTTGCTTTAGTAACACCCGAATGTTTCTCAATTAATCTCGTAAGATCACTACTATCATCACTTTCACAAAACATATCTTGCATATGTTGTAATAGAGAATCTTGTGAATTTTCATCTTCATTTCTGACAGATATGTTATCCATTACATGAGAATCCATCTGATGATTAAATCCATGACTAGCGTCGTTAGAGTCTTTTGCAATATTTTGCAGCATTTGCGGATCTGTTTCATTTGTATCTAAGGGGAGAGTTTCATCATTAAAATTTTCCATAACACTCCCACTTTCAAAGAGATTGTTAGAATTCATAGTGGGTAATACTGTTTGCAGTGATTTCTCACAGTTGAATGTAATAGATACATCTTGTATATTTGTACTTTCCGAATCCATCCACCTGTCATCTGTTTGCACAGCGATGTCAGATTTATTTTTTGATGTTTCTAAAAATATTATCAATTTTTTATACGCTTTCTTTTTAATTGTATGTGATTTTACATCATCAATCTACAAAGACAAATAAATTACAATGATATAAAATATCGACGAGGAAATCTTAAATACTGCCTTCCTTTTAAACTATTTTAATTATTTTAAATAATAATATTTATTACCATTTTCAGCATATTTTGTCTGTATATACTAGTTTCTAGTGCCAATTGGACAGCATGTAATTCCATTTGATCTGCACACTTTTTCACTTTAATGCTTGATATATCATTTTGTTTATAACAAGTTGCATAATTACTAAGTAAGCATTTATGAAGATAGGACAAATATACAGCACGGACCTATACAAATATATATATATTGTGAAACAATTGTCTATAATGTAACAGTCATTATACAATATTGGAAAAATATTTTCTAAAATTTTTCAGTAAAATCTTTTTGATTAATTTCTAAATAGTTAATCAAATTTAATTAGTTTATTTCTTATTTTGCAATAAACATTAATATCATCACTTAGATCTTTTAAATTATTTAAAACTTTAGAACTTTTCAAGTTAAATTAAAATTTAATTGTAAAAATTATTTCTATATTTATATGCATTCTAAATCTAAAATAACATTAAATTAAATCAATTAAATCTTTTTATATCAAAATTTGCTAGAATTTTGAGCATGCTAAACTCTAATGGTAGAAATATAAAATGATGTAAATATATACATATATATATAGTGTGTACGCATACACATAATTATGTGCAAAGAAACGTGCCATTGTAGTGAGACGTAAAAACTCATTGTTGAATTCGTTGACGATGACAGGATTGTCGTTGGAAAGTGATGGTAACGGCATAAATGAGAGATCGTCGATATCCGAATTAATATCGCTGTCATTACAGACATTCTGTTCTTTTTTCAATGTAAACAGCAAAGAAGCATCGATACGATCAGTCATCATTGCAATGAATGTTTTGCAATAATCACATCGTATGACAAATTGTAAAACGTTTATTGTATGTTCATACATACATCCATCAACAACGTAATCCTCGATAGATATTCTACATTACATACGTATAAACAACTAACTAATGAAATAAATTAATGTTTGATCGAAAGAAGCTACGTTTGTTATGCAGTCATAAAAAAGATTATTGGTGGCGGCACTTGGGGCCATGACATAAGAATACAAGAGGTGCGTCTGGGGAGCGCTACTAGCGCTATTTGTCATTCTATTCTTGTTTTATGTCTAATAATAAAATACATTTAATAATAAACAACGAAGATAAAATGACAGAAGTAGCGCTAATAGCGATTCACATCAAAAATATATCATTGCGCAGTTCTACATTAGCAAGCCGATTATGCGGCTTTGCGAGGAATGGCCTTTACATCATGCACGGGTCTGCAAAACTACGCAATGCAGAACGGCAGATGAAACCCATATATAAAAACATAAAGCCGGTTCTGCATTAGTTGCAAGCTGATCATAAATTTGTTGCGATAGTCAATATAAAGCTGATTTTAAAATGCAAGCTTCAAATTGGCTGTAGCTACAAACTTGCGATCAACTTGCAACTAATGTAGAACTGGCTTAAGGCCAATAACAAATCCAATGTTATGATTTTCTTGGGAAGCGTTTATATTGGCCGTAATCATATGCCGTATGCCATAATCTGTAAAAATTGACCAATTATCCTTAAATATTCCCTTTAATATTCCCTTCTTAATCATCAAATAAGAGGGGAATATTTGACTGTTTTTATTTCATAATACTTTCAAAATATTATTTAGAATATTTACATTCGTTCTTATTTCAAGACTGTCTTAAGCCGCTAATACAGCCTCTGATTGATTTGTGACTTCTTAAGACTGTACTTAAGACGATCTTGAATATAAGATCTGACTATGAGTATCATAGACACAAATTTTTATCCCGTCGAAAGATTATAATTAACGCATTATCATTATGACCAACCAATTGGTAAACAGTCACGTAACTTATTGCTTGCCTCGTAACCAATCAATTATAGCTTTTTATCTTATGGCACGGATCTCATGGTGCGGAACATATGCGCAATGCGGAATTGGCAGAACTTATGATTGATTTGACCTGTTTTACGTTCGTTCCGCCGATTTTTATGCGCAATGTATAGAATGGTACGGAATTGCTGGAATTGTGAGAATTTGCGCGAAGAAGACAAAGGGTCGGTCTCATTAATTTCGATTATGCTAATCGAATTAAGTTTCAGTACTGTCAACTGCAAAACTTGAAAACATCCTTTACTGGCAGAGCGCCGAATACTCACTTGTGATTAACTTTTTCGCGAATTAAAGAAATTTGCAACTAATAAGGGGCTTGATTGTGTATTTTGAAATGAGATGAAAATTACAAAAATGAGCAATGATTACTAGATATTGACCAATTAAATTATGTGATATGAATATTCTAGTGAATTTATTCACTTTTATAATTTTCACCTCATTTCAAGATACACAATCGACTCCAAGAACCCATGCTATTATTATCATATCGTTCTTCACAACTGCCAGACAATTACAGTTTTGCAGATTGTATTTCATGAATTTTGACAAATATATATACACGCATGTGTGATTCCAGTCAGCATGAGTTTGTTCCCTTAAAGGTGCCTTTACATGGCAGCGTCAAGTGTCGAGTGTCAGAGTATGCGCAGTAATATGTTTAATTTTACTGAAATTGAATTTAATTTACGAGATACACTAATAGTGGAATCTTAGTTTACATTATATAATGTAAATAAATATAAATTTTGAGCATTATGTTAGAATAGTAGAATGTATATCAGAACATTACACTTTGTATTTTTATACTATGACCGTAGTGTAAAAGAAAATGGCGCTAAACACGTGATTTAGCCAGCCAATCAAATCATTTCCTCACTTGTCGCTTCTCTGATATCTATATATCTATCCATGATTTACTTGACGCTACGAATGCTTTGTAACTTTTGATTGACCAATTGGAAGAAAGAATTTTACTAATTAACCAATCAAAAAAATCTTCGAAACATTTGTAGCATCAAGGATATATATATAGTCATAGTAGAACAAGTGACGTCATTAATCCAATCCAAGTCGATTCAAATCCGCTAGGGTCAAAAACGCTATAAATTAAAATATTTTTTCTCATTGAATTTTGGAACGCTGCGATATCATAAAAATACAAATCACTTGCGCAATAGACTTGCGCAATGAGGTATAAAGTGATGTAACTCGACTTCGCTTTTTAAACTTAAAAATGATAAAGATACACATACATCACGATCATGCGCTAGCGCTTATATAATAATAAAGGTCCCTATCGTTATAAGAAATATATTTCTTATATCTTTGTGAAAAATTATGCTTATAAATATATAATTATAGTGAATCTGTATAAAGAGAAAGATTATTACACTAAGTTGGCCTTGATGAAAGGAGCATTCTCCGATGAGAGAAACATATATTAGACTTACACATATAAGACAGTTCTTTATTAGTATAGTTAATATTTAACTGCAGAGATAACTCTGACGCGGCGACCGTGATAAAATATGTCGCTCGTAAACAGCACATAGTACTATAACGAGCTGTGCGTTACAAGATAAAACGTGCGTATTAAATTAGTGACTTCTTAACAGGAGAAATACGTAAAACCGGTATGATATATCGATAACATTATACTATGTCATTAAAAAAATAAATTTTGTAACGAGTTTTGATCCTTACATTTAATTGTATTTTCATCTTCGTGAAAAAAGAGACGCGAGATTTATTCTCATACCACATAAATTAAGTCAAAATTTAATCTTATTTAAACTTTTTGCATTATATATACAAGAATCACTAACGATTTCAATTCTTGTCCAGATCGCATTTTATTTATTGATGAATAACACTATTGATGAAAACACACTATACACATAACACTTTCAGATATGCAGCTATCCAACTTATTGTGTTCTTGCCTTTTCACAGTACGCTCACACACTATTATGCTCAATTATTCTACTTATATTATTAGAAAGGTAGAAAGAAATTTATTGTTATTATATTTGTGAAAGTTTTATCAAAAAATTAAATCTTGACAAAAGTTTTATCTCATATTTTATTTCGACTTATATTCTGATATTATTTAATAAAATTAATTATTTTATGATTATTCAATTTTCAATTATCTCATCTAATTAATATATTATACATGTGTGTATTATATACACAATACATATATATAAAATGACTGAAATTGAATATATATAAAATGACTGAATTTGATTATTGATTGATAATTATTCTCTCTATGAATTTTGCTTAACTTGCTATGCACAGTCTCTTTTATTCCTAAAAAGTATTGCGTACGAAAATACTATAGAGGAAATCTACTGTAATATAATATAAATGTAACGTATATACTATAGTATTTACATATATTTCCGTATGTGATACTTTTCAAGAAGTTATAAATATTATACACTTTTCTTTTTTAATAGAAATAATTTTATTTAATAGAAATAATTTTTAAAGAATAATCTTTAGGCAAAATTTAAAATGTGATTAAAGAAAATAAAAGAGTGGAATGGAAAATGAATAATTAATCGATATTTACAAAAAATGCAAATATTGTGTTGAAGGAAAAGGAATTAAGAAATAATATAATAGATAGAACGGAATTCGATAGAACGGAAAAGATTATATCTATTTGCGATACTTGACACATATACGTATACGCGCATAACATGCGGAGATAGGGAGACCTGATTGGTTGATTGAGAGTTAAAGCGCGCACCAATCGACCAATTGCTGACCAATCGAGCAAGCCAATTTTCCGTTTGAAATTTGCAGTTCTTCACAGTTTGCGTTGCATGTGCCATATTGCGAATGGAGTGACTTCTTTTTTATTAATTTTCAACCATTTTTCATGATATCGTAATTAGCAGAATGTTGTGTGAATTTTTTTTTTCATAAATCATCGCGGATAAATCTAACAATAAAATGTGCTTTTAGCCTATTCAGTGAATCAAATACAGAGAACGCATCGAGAGACTTTCGAAAGGTAAGGAAAAAATTTACTTTAGAAACAATGCAAGCTTAATTTAAAAAGTTTTTGAAAATCATCAACAATCGAGATTGTAACACAAATAAAAAAAGTGAAAAATCTAGTTTATCTACAAGACTAATTTTTCAACTTATATTTATTAAGCATTTTTCTAAGTTTAGTAAACACTTTAGTAAACACTTTAGTATATACTATCTGCATATGCTTCTTTCTTCTTAATTTATTTAAAGATACATAGGGTGAGTCACTTTAATATTCTTGTTGGAATTTTTTTCTAAGCCTCTTATAAAAGAATGTTTCAAGCAAAAGTTGTATAATCTAAAGAGGAACAAATAATAGTAAAGTCCCTTAACAGCACAGATCTCCAGGGGACGTCCAAAGGACATCAGTATCCTTTGAACATCTCAAGGACATTCTCAGAATGTATTTCGGATAGAGTGCGTTATTAGGGTCAATTTTTGAAAAAATTGATTCTTCACGTGGAGATGTCATTTTTTTAAATACAATAGAATAATATAATTTATTTATAAAATGATTCATCGTATAATTATTATGCATATGCAAATAAAAAATTAAAATAATTTATGCGATATTTTATATTTGGTGTCAGAATAAAGTATAAAACATCTTATAAATTCTATTCATCTATTCGTTTTTTAATAATTTGCAATATGTAAATATTGGGTTGTCCGGAAAGTTCGATGTCGATTTTGAAGGAAAATTGAAACGCAGAAGATTTAAATTTTAGTATACATTTATTAAATTATATAGTGCCATTCTGTTCTACAACTTTTCTCCATCTTTCAGGCAACTTGAAAATTCCTTCCAGAATCTCTCAGGTTTTTCAGCGAAAAACTTTTCTAAGTGATTTTTTACCTCGATCAAAGAGTTGAAGCTTTTTCCATTAAGGGAATTTTGTAATGATCGAAATAGGTGGAAATCAGAGAGCGCGAGGTCTGATGAATATGGTGGATGGGGTAGAACATCCAAACAGAGCTCCAACAACTTTTGTCGAGTTATTAAAGACACATGAGGCCGCGCATTATCCTGATGAAACACGACGCCCTTCCGATTCGCTATTTCTGGACGTTTTTGTTCAATTGCTGTCTTCAATTCGTCTAATTGGAAATAATACTTCTCTGAATTTATCGTCTCGTTGTTTGGTAAAAGCTCATAATACAAGATCCCTTTTCAATCCCACCAGACACAGAGCATGACCTTCTTTGGATGAAGACCGGCTTTTGGGATGGCTAAAGGTTCATTCCGCTTTCCCCAAGATCTTTTTGGCTCACAACATTATTGTAAATGATCCATTTTTCATCCCTCGTCACTACTTGCTTCAAAAATGGTGTCTCCCCGTTGCATTTATAGAGCGAGTCGCAAATGGAAATGCGATCCATCAGATTTTTCTCCGTTAAATCGTGGGGAATCCATACATCAAAACGGTTTATGTAGCCAAACTTCACAAAATGCTCGTGGATGGTGGATTTTGACATATTTAACATTTCTGCTAATTTACGTGTCATATAGCATGGATTATTCTCGATCAGTATTTTAATCTGATCTTCATCTGTGGTAGAGGGCCTACCCGGGAGTTCTTGATCTTCAAGGTTGAAATCACCAGCTTTAAACCTAGCAGTCATCACTTCCGCACAGTTCTTTCAGCTATAGCACCTTCGCCATAAACAGCGCATATCTTGTTTGCCGCTTGTGTGGCATTTTTGCTTTTCCGGTAAAAGAAAAGCATTAATGCCTAAAATGCACTTTGTTTTCTTCCATATTCAAAGGCGTATAAAACTGACAAAAGTTAACGTATTGCAACCAAATTTTTTTCCAAGTATGCCTGAAGTACCGTCTTTTACGATATGTACGCATGTCATTTGTTTTCAATCGTTCTGATATATTCAGACTTGTCCTTACGCCACTTATCAAAAATCGGCACGAACTCTCCGAATAACCCAATACATCATCGGTTTCGTTTATATACATTAACTGATTCATCTCATTATTCTATGCATAAAATATCAATATACAGTTATAAAAACTTAAAATCAATTCGGCACGCAATTCAAGAGACTACAAATGTGATATATAAATTCACATTAAATTATTTATAACATTCAAGATCTAGCTTCGATATAGGCATTATTTTTTTAGTTATTGTGTATTCATTGCATTATACAGTCCTAATAAATCGTTAAATTTATTATTATTAAAATTTATACTTACTTACACTTTCATTAATATTAAAAATGATAATTGATTGCTTATTCTCAGTGAGAAATAACTCATCAAATCAATGTCGATTCGACGTCGAATTAATAATTTCAACCACGATTTGATGTCGAATTAATGATTTCGACGTCGATTCGGCATCATTTCGACGTTAAATTGACGTCATTTCTCACAGGATTAGTTATGCATTAGAGAGTTGAAAGGAGAAAACTTTTTCAAGTCTCTCTAGGTGTTCACTATCTTCAATTCTTCGCAATTAAAGGAAAGAACATATTTTAGTGAAATATGTAAAGGACAATCAATCACTTGCAATTTTATCAGCGTCTTCTCAAGAATCTACGGTTTTCTCATTTATCTTCTCTCTTTTATTCTTTATAATATATGTTACACACACACACACACACGCGCGCGCGCGCGCGCGCGCGCGCACATCAGAACTTTACTTTTATAAAATTCGAGAGAACTCTCTCATACATATAATCGTTCATTATTTTTATTAGGAAGTACTGAATTCAAACTTGGAACGTCCCCAACGTTCTAATCTCGTACTTTACGAGCTCGACCACATCAATTTTTTATTAGGAAGAGTACTGAGTTGGTTTTCTTGCATCGGTGAATAATAATTGAACATTAATTAACCAACAATGATTTAAATTTTTTTTACATTATCACTATGTGTGTAGATACTCAATTCTATTTCCTAATTCATAATAATCAGTTTCTAAATAAATATAGGCCAGTATTCATAATTTCAGTTCTTATATTCAAGACAGTGTTAAATTCTGTCTTGAGGTATCACGAACCAATCAGAGAGTCGCATTCAAACATTACAGACGGTTTTAAAATAAGAATTGATTATGAATACTAGCTATAGTTTTTACTTTAATCAGCATGATAATTACGTATTATTGTATTTTAATATTATTTTATAGATATAAAATTTTTCACTTTTCAATCATAACAATTGCAGTATTGTTGCATAAAAGTTTTTTCCTATTATTTAATATATATTCTTAATATATTCTTATAATACATATAGCATGTTTTAATAGATGCATATAATTTTCAAAATTGTGCGACCGAGTAAGCCATGCATAAGTCAAAACATTATTTCGTTCGCATTTACGTACATACATGACATTTTGCAAGATATGAATATTTTAGATTATTATGCCGTGGGCTCGATCAAGTCGACGGACAAATATCGACAATTGTACACGAATCTGACAAAGAATTGACAGTTCTGTTCGACGAAATTTTTATACAAGTGACTGACGAAAGTACACACAACGAATGTTATATTTCTTGCATGTTATTTCATGAATGTTATATAACAAATTCTCATAATTTTGAATGTATACAAACATATGTATGTATCATATCAAATGTCATTTTAATTATTAATATTGTCGATTTTTTAAAAATTTCTTCTTGTAAAAATTTCTTATGCAGGATGTAGAAGACGCAGATGCTCTATTTCTTAATTGAAATCAATTTTATGAATTGAAAGAAAATGATAAAAGTTTTCAAATTATATCTTATCTTTTTCTCCTTCTGAGCTCTACGTTTGTGAAGATATTTTTTTCATATTTTATTTGACAAATATTTTAATTTGACCTTCTCGATCTTTGATGTTTTTAATAAAACAAACACACAACAAAACACACATTCAAATAATCATTGATTATAGTTAATTGCTGACTTCCGTTTTTGCATTATTAATTCGGTGGAATTTCTTTGAGAATCATCTGTAGACTGTATTTGTATTGAAGTCCCACCAAATAATCCATTGTTACATCGAATATTCAGAGACAAAGTAGACAAAACAAACTGAAGTAATTTTAAGCTATTAAAGAGGGAGGAAAAGAGAAAGAGAGAGAGAGAAAGAGAGAGAGAGAGAGAGAGAGAGAGAGAGAGACGCATGCACTTTTTAGTTAAATAAAATTACAGTAAAACACGATTACATAAAAAATATTTTATTCCAGTTTAAAAATTATAGGATATCTAGTGAAATATTCTACTAAACTATTGTTTTAATTTTCATCTTGGAAGAGATATATCAAAATGTGCAAATCTAGAAAATCATCCTATTTCTTTAATCATCCTATCTCGATTATTGTACTTTAACATACAATATTAATAGAGAAATAATTTTCAACACTTTTCTAATCAAATGTTCAAATAAATTTGAACAGTCAAAATAAAATAATATATTTTTTAATTCTGAATAGTTTTTTATTCTTGCATTTTGTTATTGCATCGTTAATGTGTCTCATTTTGTTTTATTAACGAAATATTTATTAAATCTTCGTATATATTAGTTATACGGGAGACATTTTTCGACAAACTTTTATCGACAAAATTGGATATTTCAATATGCAGATAAATAAATTTTGATTAAAATGTTGTTATTTAGAAGGGAAAAATATATGAAAAAATCTTGAAGAAAATATGAATCTTATTTTAAAAATACATATAATATAAGAGGGCGCAAACGTGGCATGGCAGACAGCGCATTGGTCTATCATGCCAAAGGTGTCCCGGGTCCTAGTAGGAACCAAAATATTTACACTCGTGTCTCCTCTCGGAAAAGGTCAGCAACTTCCCGAGAATATCGTTGCCCACAGAAATACCTCTCAAAAAAATCCGTTCGGAACCGGCATTAAAATTGTATGCTCGTGGCAATTGGATAATCAGCATGACACAACCATATGAAAGAGATGTAATACAGGCTCAGAAGCTTAAGGTAGAAAGAAGAAGAAAGAGAAGAAATATGTAAATATGTAATATGTAAATATATTAAATTTTATATGTGTACATATAAACAATAAGAATCTTAAAGAATTCTTCGTAGAACACAACCAATAAGAAATGGGAAATGGTCATAACTAATTCAGTATGAATTTATAGGTACTGTATATGTATGTATATACATATATATCATATTTAGTAATCATTTCGAACTGCGCGCTGAAATTTTATCAGACTTAAAAATGCAGGAGCTAGATTACTGAAATAATATCACAATTAAATTTTGATGCTCAAGAAGCATTTATTAAAGAATTCTTAATATGCTGGAAATCTGCGAATAAATTTATTTA